ATATTAAATAAAATAAAAATAAATTATCTCACCTCCTCCAATTAGAAATGAGTAAAGAATTTTCCAAATGGCACGGTTTTGGTATACCTTTACATAGATTCATATATATCTTTAGTCCGTTGATGCTTTTTTTGTGAGGTAAATATTATGAAACGATTTCTTGGCGAGAGGGTATCAGACTGTTATTGACTGAGGACCCCCCCCCCGCGGGTCATTCTCCTACTACTTTACTTACCTAATTGTGCTAGAACTGCAACCCCAGCAGAACATTGACCCTCTAGAGCCTTGTTTGTGGTGGTCTAATAGCTCTTTGAGGCCCGCGCGGAACGCACGAGCCGTACGCTCGGGTCTGGTTCTGGTTGGGCGGCACGCTACCCTCGCTTAGCGTCCGCAGACACAGTCGCTTATCAAAAAAACAACCAACCATCAAATACTGTGTGTACTCATCAAGTAACGTTGTTGTTATTGCGAAATAAAAAATAGCATTATATTTCTAAGTATTTTGAGAAACCTACAGAGCCCAACTACGAACACAGTTCTAGAATTCATAAGTTATAAGAATGTAGAACAAGTACAAGTTGTTATTGCAAACACAAAATTCTTGGTATTCAATGGTATTTCTTGAAAATTCTCGACTGTTTATTAATTAATACGTTGTCCTACATTCTCTGGCCCTTATCCAACTTTATTGAAGTTGCCTTGCCTAATTAGCTTTAACTGGAAATACTGGTGTATTTTAGGAAGTCACTATTCTCTCAAAAATAGACTAGGAATTATGTCACCAAATACTTTGGTAGAATTGTTGAGGCTTCTAGTCAAAGCCCTGAAGAACTTCAATTACCGACTTTAGTATAGTAACCTCTTAATATTAATGATCTAAGATGATAAATTAATTGTGACACAAGACTTCTTTGTTGGCGAAGTCGCTAATTATTACTTTTCTTTAGATATGTAATTATATCTTGTCCTGAGATTAAGGCAACCGCTCCTCATACATGAGGTCGTGGGCTCGAATACGAGCAAGTAACAATTTGTGTTTTGAAGTTTTCTCTATGTCACACAATACCATAAGAGTTACGAGTTAGCGCTACCCACCTTTTAAACGATTATGGTTTCGGAGATTTGGGGATTGAAGAGGTATAGGGGCAGGGAAAAAGGATATCTAGATACCAATGATATCGTAGAGAAACATGGTCTATAATTTCTAGTTAAATTAAAATCGCCGATCCACCTTGAATAAGCTTACGGGCGTCGGGGATCGAGGGACGATCTCCGGCCACCGTAAGCAAGGGCCTGCGGTCGGCGAGTAAGGGCAGCTCGCCGCCCGACCAGAACCAGGCCCGAGCGTACGGCGCGTAGCGTTCCGCGCGCGCCTCAAAGAGCCATTAGAACACCACAGATGGGGCCCTAAAGGGCTGATGTTCAGCCGGGGTTGCGGGGTAAGCGCAATGAGGCACCGCGACCTCGGCACAGAGCAGGAGAAGGAACAGGGGAGTTTTTAGTCAGTAAGAGTCTGACAGTCCCTCCTGCCCGGCCCTGGGCGGGAGAAGTCATTTGATGATTTTCCCCTCACAAAAAAAAAACCTTGAATAAGCTTGATACTTAACACTCAAACCTTCTCGGTGTGAGAAGAGTCTTGGGCACTTATAGGCTGATGATGATGATGGTGAGAAAACTACTTAATTAACAAAAAAAAAATTGTTAAACTAAATTTTGTATTGTGTTTAATTCTGGGAAGTTTGGATTATTGAACTAAAAATAGAACTGACATAAATGAGGCGTCATATGTCTCATTTTATATGCTCTTAACTATACATATTAAAAAATTAAAAGGTGTAAATTCATGTGATTTGTAAAACAAATTACATAGGTTGTTTTAAGCAATCAAACAAAACTTTCTACTTGGCAAAGTAAGACAGGAATTTGTTTGTATTAAGTTTAAATCACATCAGATTTGTAATTAAAAGTTTTAAATGTCACATTTCATGATTCTTTTGATGTTAAGTGATTTACTTAGGTGACTCGGAAATGATGTTGCCAGTCGACCGAGAAATTAAACTCAAAAACATCTTTGTGTTTATGTAAGTAATTAGAAAAATGAAACTTTAAGAAAAGTTTCGATAATATAAAGGTCACGAATGTAATAATAGCTACAATGATTCTTCCCTGATAATAGCTAGAATGCCTGTAGGCATTAAGCCCACCCATGTACTTTGTGCATAAAGTTAAATAAATAAATAAATAAATGTTTGCGCGTAGGGCCGCGGATGCAAGCCTCCGCGGCCCCAACCTAAAGTAGGAGGAGGAGCGGCGTTTAGTCAGTAAGAGTCTGACACTCAGTCTCGAATGGACGTGAGAAGTAATTTGATTGTTTATTTTAATCATCGATAGTTTTATATTCTACCTGATGTCAAAAAATTACTACTTGAATTAATATGTAAGTAGTAAAATTTCTAAAGAACTCCACATAGACATGTACAGTCACATAAATTAAAAAAAAAAAACATTGTGACAAGTACTTTTTTGCAATTTAATCTCAATACTCCGCAGTCTAGTGGATTACAGTTTTCATTAAAATATACCGAATGGATATAAAAGTTCCATTAATCGATAATCGTAATAAGCCTTTAAGTTTCAAAAGTACTGGCGTCCAGTGAAATGCGCAAAAACCTACGTAAATTTAATTCATTATTTCTGGTCATTGCGCAATTATTTTATTTTAATTAATTGCTTATCGTTTCAGGTGGTGCGTTCTACGTATTCGGTTTTTGCTTTGTTTTATGCGCAAACTTCATGAATTACCTGTATTATTTATTGTATTTGGTTACTGATTATTTTGTGAAATTATTGTTGGGTAGTGGACTTTACTGGTATTTTATGTAGGCAAAAAATTAAGTGTTATGTACTTATGTATTTATTTGACCATGTGTACACAAATGTAGTGTAGGGCGTTTGAGATGCATTGATGATAATTGCAACGAAACTGGCAGTGGCTAGGCACGAAGAACTGAAGATGGAGTGACGTCAGCATAAACTAATTATAATTAGAAGGTTTCAAAACCTTAATATATCTTTTTAAAAACGACTTTTTGGTAGTATGAATTAAACATAGATTCGTTTATTTAAACTCGCACCCAACAAAATAACAGTGATTAATGAAACAAAAAAAAAACAAAAAAATGATGTAACATACACATGGGCCCCTAAGACGCAGATGTACATTCGACAACAACTTTTTATACATTTCGCTCTCCCTATTTAGTTCTCAACATACTTATTGTATTTCTTACAGACTAAGTTCAAAGAAATAAAACGCTCTGTTACTTTAACGAGTCTCTTAAGACGTATTATGGGTAGTAAAGTTCAAAAAACATGTGTTGTTTACGCACTTTAGTAGTTATATTAATTTAAACTTTAACACAATATGAATATAGTCGAAAATTTAAACTTTAGATGGCACTTTTTATCTAGAACGTCGCTGGTAACTTGTGTACCTTTAGCAAACTGTAGACCATGAATTGAAAAGAAAATTAAATCGGATTGACCTTTGAAAAGTTTAAAGTGGTATTTGATTTTGGCAAAGTGTTTTTTATTTGTTCTAGAAATTCTGCCTTTGATATTTAAGTAACAGTAATGAAAAATGACAAATAAATCAATTGTACAGAGTGTCCAAAATCTCAATTATAAAATTCAATCTGCTGACAAGCCTTTTTTATATTCATATTAAATAAGGCGTATTTAATAAGGCGCCGCCCATTGACACCTGCGGCACCAGAGAAAACACAAGCGTTTTGCTGGCCGTTTAAGAAGAACTAAGTACGCTCGTTTCTTGAAGGTTTGAACGTTTTATCCACTCGGAAATGCGAACGCCGCCTTTCCTAGTCTGTTGCTAAAAAAAGGTATTTAATTTCCATTTTTGAAAACAATACAGAGTGATTTTGACTAATGTACCATGACATGAAATATTCAAAATCTGCATGGTAGTAGTCATTAGAAGGTCTATCACTCGGTCAAATTTATTTCTGTGTTTTAGGACAACCTTTATATGACAGAGGTACTTACGTTCGTACTACTGTGACCTTATACGTACCGATGTATAGCCGTATCGTGCTCAACCAACGAAGTCACGCACTCATAAAAACAAGATTGCAAATCCCGATAAATCTGTTATCGTTAAGATTACTGTATCACATACGTATGCAAATACGGAACATTTCAATGTTACGCATTGCGTGTTAGGAATAAGTTCATGAATAAATAAAATGCTGAAAGACTTACCTATGCTTAGACGTACGCATAATACTCGACGTATTACGTAACAACGTATAACAGTTACAGTTCAATACCTAATACTTAGTCGCAAATCGGACGAATATTCAAGAAACATGTGATCAATAAAATACTTCGTAATGACTGCGACTGTTTTGAATATATTAACAGTAACAGTAAAAGTACTGAAGTTAAATCTAAAATTAGATATCCACGACATAATAAGAACGAGCCCCTACTCTACCCGCAACTTTGTCCATGTAGAATAGTAATAGTAACTTTTGGTACATTTATTAGACCAATTACAACGAATGTATAATACTAAAGACCCACTACAGCTTAGCACGGGTGTAATGCTGATACTAAATTTATCCACTATTTAAAGAAAGTTATTAATATATACCTAAATCTACCACTTCAATATTTATTTATTTATTTATTTATGCTTTATTGTACACAATGAAATGAAGTTGGTACAAAAGACCAGTCAACCTTTGGGTCAAATGGAAAATCTGCGAAAAATAGGTACGAGAAATATGTTTATACGAATTTAATAGAATAAAATATTAAAAGACAATACTGTATAGATACAATCTAAAAATGATAAGATAATACATACTATATATGTATATAGAATGTTACATATTACGAACAATTAAATATGTATATATATGCCTACTATTTGTATTTATTTAGAAAAATGCATCAAAATAAATTGTGTAATTTTATAGATTAAAGCATTTACAGGGCAGAAAAACGCGCATCTGCGGACGGTGAGGGTAGCTCGCCGCCCGACCAGAACCAGACGCGTAGCGCTCCGCGCGCACCTCAAAGAGCCAATAGACGGGCTTGATGTTCAGCCGCGGTTGCGGGCTAAGCGCAATGAGTCATCGCGGCCTCGGCCCAGAGTAGGAGAAGGAACGGGGGGGTCTTTAGTCAGTAAGAGTCTGATACTGTCTCTCGCCATACCCTGGGCGGGAGAAGTCATTTGATGATTTACCCCTGATAAAAAAAGGCAAAGAAAGGAAATTTGCTTTGTGCTATGTACCTAGTTATGTTGCCCAATATTAATAAATATCAATGAACTGTTTAAAGTACTTATACCTACTACAATTTATTCTAGATTATAATCGTTTTCCGCACCAACAAAATTCATTGAAATTCGTCCACTGAAAGAAAAATTACGAACTAATTTTTCTTTCGTTTTCTAATACTTATTATGTAGTAGCTACTTTTACGCGGCGTCACCTGCTGTTCGGCTTCTACCGATTATAGGGTAATGTTTTATAGCCTAAAGCCTTCCTCAATAAATGGTCTGTTAAACACAAAAATATTTTTTTATTTGAACCAGTTTAGATTATGATATTAGCGCGTTCAAACAAATAAACAAACTCTTCAGCTTTATAATATTAGTGTATAATAATACAGTCTATTTTTACGTAATATATCTGATAACACTCTTAGCAGTACAGGCGTGATATTCCGTGATCTAATACTTGCCTTTTATTCCTGACACATAACTCGTTTCGGCCATGTTAATATTTCGAGGTTATAATAATACAAGTCCGAAGTGAAACGTATGTATGTAGGTGTGTTTCGTGTATATAGGTATATAGGAAGGGGAAGGTGTTAGATTAAAGTTTTGCTCCAGTGATATATTACGTGCCGCGTGTCGCATATTCGTTATATCGGTCCGGTTTACTATTGCTCTCACTTTCCAAGACCAAATAAATTTTCCTCGGAAGCGGAAATATAAGAAAACGTATGAAGAACCCGGGAATAACGTTTTATGTGGCAACGTTTTATGGGTTGAGTTTTTTTGAGTGGTTGCTAGTGTGACTGTTGGTTAAAAAGTTTGAGAATCGATGCCTAATACGTTTATTCGAAACAAAGCCGCGTTATTAAAATGGAGTTGGTACTCATAGCGCGATAGGAATAGTGACATGGTGATACGGACAGGAAGAACATAGCGTAATAGAAATAGTACCCTGTCACTATATATAGATAGGGACAGAAAGAATTTAAAATCTATTAATTCCGTCAGTTAGAGAATGAAAAAACATGAGACCCGTAATTTCATACAAATTTTGTATGAAAATAACAATTATATATTATCTAAGAGACTTTAATTCCTTAAAAAAAAGGAGTCTACATTTTTAAAGACTGTTTTAGAAGCTCTTTTTAAACGATTATTAAAAAAAAACCACCATCATCTCTTTTACAGTCGAGTGTTATATAATTTTAATTTTATATCCCCATTATAACAAAAAAAAAATTTGCTTTAATAATTTCCAAATGGACACCGGTGTCCTCTGTGACGTCATTACCTCGTCGCGTCTCCGTGTTTACGTTTCTGGCGCATTCTAAAATCAATTTGTAACTCGTGGTTTTTCGAAATGCAAATTCGACGCTAAGGGGCAAAGGTCAAGAGACCTGCATAAAAAACAACCTTGTTTTGATGAGCGATATTTTTATATTCGATAGAATATATGCGATTCAAGATAACGATGATATCTCTCGTGCGATCAGAATATTCCCTTTGATCAGATATTTATATTTCGGTCTGTTTTCGCAGGTAACCATTTGATTGATATCATTTTTTTAGTATGTAATACGCTGTAATACGCTTACATTACGTCTGTGAATGTTGTGTGGATATACTGTCGAGTACCTATTATTTATCTTTGATTTATAATATAACCTTAAAATTTAAGTTACTGATCATGTTATTACTGGTAGATCTCCTGCTTGGTAGAATAGTATCATTGTCAGGGTTGAGGGCAGAAAAAGGATGGAAGTTCACTTGCCATTTAACTTAGAAAATATTGCACCAATATGATGATGATCATGTTATTGGATATTTTCGAATGACTTGTCATTGGGGCGTATACCCACCAATTACCATTAAATGCCTATAGCACCACCTTCATTTATATGCACGTATGTGCCGATAAACTTAAACGGCACACAATTCATACAAACTGCGTTCTATATTCAAATTTATCTGGTACATAGGAGTGGCAAATTTTGTGATACAGGCTTTATAATCACATAATTATATTCTTTGGTGAAAATCGTTCACCATGTGTATGTTTCAATCGTATGAGGATATGTCTGTACATTTTCATTTTATTACTATGAACACGCCACTTTTTTTCTTTCCACCTTTGGGAAAATGCCTGGCTTGAAGTTACAACAAAAAGAAAAGTTCGAAGTGTGACTGCTACTGGTTGATTTATTACACAGACGCAGTAGCAAACCACATATAACATAATATACTTCCTCAAAAGCGTATCACAATATTTACGCAATAAAAGATAAGATACTCCCAATGGGTTTGGCCCGTGATGAAATCGAACGGACTACTAATGTTTTCATTCCTCATCTCAGTATTCATAGTTATTCACGTATGCGGCTCACATGTGAGAGGGCGTGTAGCGTTGCGCGCGGAATCTTTTTTCTTCCGCGGCGAATAAAAAAAATTTGCCTGCCATAAAAGTATATGAGTTCGTCCCAATACTGCGTCGATGACTTCCAATCTCTCTGTAGCGTCCCGACCCAACCCTGAAGATTACTTTTTCTCCTTCATCCAGTAAATTGAATTAAAATGAGAAGCAAACGCGTAAAGGAAAGGGTGCACGTCGATTTTCACAAGAGTTTCCAGTTTAACGTCCGATACCTTCCTCGGTTCTTATTGTCTTTTCATTTTAAAATGCTTTTAATCTTTATAACCTCTATAGCGATTTGAAACATGAAAAATGTTGGACAAAAATCAACCTTAGCAGCCGTTTAATATGACGAAATATGACTTGCTATAACAAAACATTCTGAACAGCATTTTAGGACAATTAATTGTGTGTCAACGATATAACGTATACTGATTTAATAAAATTAAATTGTTTATTAAGTGATTAATACTAATTTTAATATATTCATGATTAACGTAATAATTGCAATTTAATTTCAGGTCCTTGTTATGTATGATACAATTTTAATCATCGTTAAAGTTAGGTAGGAATATTAGGCATTAACATGGCTATTCGAGTATTATTAGTGAAATACATCTTAGTACATGCTAAATTTAAATGGCTATTTTTGTTCTAGTTATAAATGAAATTATGGTAGACATGCAACATTTTCTACTATACTTATTTCAACTACATTATTGCATGGCAACCTATAGTTTAAAAATGAAATCCCCACATTTTGTCATTAAATGTACGTTAAATCACTAAATAATAACGCAAAGTTTAAAGAACAAATTTTGATGCGGTTTTCGACAGAGCGATTGAAGAGGAAGTTTTGTGTGTCCTGTGTGTGAATTTCCATTAAATAGTGGTAAAAATATGATCAGCATTGCCGCAACCGTACAAAGCTGAGGAGGACTAGTATATAATAAGTAACATTATGCACAAATAAATTGTGATCAAATTATTATAACTACCTTTTTTGTAAAACCGACAGTAACATATAATAATAACCGTGCTCTTAAAATACAAAACTTGACATATTTAAGGAAACTGTACGTCCCATAATTCTTAAAGCTACAGGTAAAAAATTTCTACTAAGGAAAATGTCCAAAATTACAGCAACAAAACATTTTACGAGATTTATAAAAAAAAACATTTAAACGTTGACTTTCCCGCCTAGTAAGATCTCATTTTATTTCAGACTCCACAATTAATTCAAATGATAAACATAAATACATAATTTAAGAGTAAATAATTTTGTAGAAGCAACACTTTGGGCGCAGCTGGTGTAGTTAGAAATCCTCGGAATGAACACAAATGTTTCGGACTAAGCGAAAACAATAAGTTGACCCGGAAACGCGTCACATTGTTTTACGACATTGTAAAGCAGGAAGGTATCTGGAGCTGGGATTGCGAGTGTCTCTACTTGTGCCACGAATAGGGATACAGATGATGGTATTGATTGCTATACAGGGTCCGCAGTTACTATGAAGTGCCTCCAAACATTTTGTTTTTCTCTCTCTTTTTGTCTATTGGAACAATGGCAAATTATACTGCTTCCAAAACTGCTGAAAAACTTGGACACTATACTTGTAAGTGTTCACGTTGTAGTTTGTATTCAAGTTAACGTTGACAAGAAAATTATTTTAATTAAACGAATATAACTTTTTAACTAAAACAAGTTCAAAAAGGATTTTGAAACGAAATGATATTAAAAACCAGTTCAGTAGACTAAAAACAACTCCACATCCCTTGTGTAATAGGTACTCGTCTCAGTTTAAAACGTAGTGCAAATATTTTAAAACATTAATAAACCGTGTAGGAATACAAAGCGTGTGTTTTGTGAGTGCAAAAGTTGGACAAACGTGTTTGTGCTCGCTCGCTTTCACACTGATATGAGAGTAAACGAGCAAACAAAGATGCATCAGACGTTTATCAGTATTATTAAAGTCAAGTATTCAAATGACAACAATTATTATGGCAGTTGTACAGTACAAATAAAAAGTTTAGCATTTAAAAAAATCTAAAACAATCATGCATATACACAGACAATTATTTACAAGTACAGTTACTTTAATTAAACATAGGTTATGTTTAATCGCATCTCATATATTTAACCGCAAAAAATTAGTCGCCATAAAATCGACACAGCTCAAACTGCTTCCGTCCACTGACTGCTACGTTATCAAAAACTACGTAGCGCTACGCCGTAGCAGCGTAGCACAATATTCTTCACACGATCATCGTGTAAATAAGAACAATTCAGTGAACCACTCACGTCACTTATATATCGATAGGAAAAAAAATAAAGGTCGATTTGTGACGCGAAGTGAGTTCGTTCCCCGTGTGAAGCTTCACGCACCATATACGTCGAACGTAGGAAATTACCTACCCCAAGTCGAATAACTCTTTCTAACTCATTTACGTGATATCTCCGTTACTCAGCGCCACGCTGGAATCTCGCAAAGTAAACGTCGTATTTTAACTTACGCGACAATTTGGTTTCAGCAAACAAATAAAGC